AGTAACATTCATTGAAGTACTTATTGCCTACTATATGCCAGGTACTGTGCTAGGTCCTGAAGGTGCCATCAAGATGAATGGGCAAACCTGCCCTTGAGTTCCTTACCACCTGGTTGGGGGTAGAGGTCAGTGAGTTGGCAGGAAATACTATTAAGTAAAATATTAAAATAAAAAGCCTGTTCTCAGTTGATAACAGAGGTATGACTCATATGTTGTAGAAGCACAAAGGGCAGCGAACTCCCCCAGAAAGCTTCACAGAAAAGGTGCATTTTAGTCTGATCCTGAAAGGTGAGTAGAAGGTCACCAAATGAAGGGAAGAGGAATTCAGTATTTGATGCCTATTCTTCTTACAGACTGACTGTAAGTTCCATGTGGGTAGGAACCAGGTCTTGTTCATTACTGTATGCCTGGAACCCAACTCAGCACTTGGTACACATCAAATGTTCTAAAATGTTTATTGACCAACTGACTGAAAGTATCTTAGCCAGAGAGAACCATATGTATAATAACAAATAAATAATAGTAATTTTTCTACTATGGTTTATTATAATATCCACACCACCATCTCCTGGAAAGAGATATATCCAAAAATAGCTCAAAGAGCAAGCACTGGAGAAGCCAGAAGACCTGAGCTCTAGTCTTAGCCCTGTTACTAACTAGTCACATGGCTTTGAATTGGTGATTATCTTGTACCACCTTCAGTTTCTCACGTGTAAAGCAGACTTGTAAGGGTTTATTGTTACAATATTATATATTGCAAAAAAAAAAAAAAATTAAGAGGAGGGAAAGAATGTAGCGCTGCATCTTTTATTTATTTTTCTAAAGGCAAAATTAATACATGCATCCCAGGTTTAAGGTGGCTGGCAGAGTACATACTGATGATCTCTCCCTCCCTTACCAAAGTTGGAGGACTGACAAAAAATGGATTAATAAGTCTATAAAAACAAGGCAGGGTCTTTCTTTGGATCAGAAGCTGTGATCAAATGATGAGCCAGAGCAGCGAGCTGGGGCTCCAGCCACCTAAAGCTGGCCATGTGTTGCCCTCACTGGGGGCCTTCTATTTCTCTCTAATCTAACCACAGAAATGAAGACATAGAAAGACTGAAACTGAAAGAAAAGCTAAGAGGCATTGAAGTTACAGAGATTTTTATTCATCTATCTAATGCAGGCATTTTTAAAAACTTGGTAGTTTGTAACAACAGGAATTTGTTTCTCACAGCCTGGAGCCTCAGAAGTCCAAGATCAAGGTGCCAGCATGGTCACCTCGTGGTGAGGGCCTTCCTCCTGGTTCATAGCTGGGACCTTCTTGCTATGTCCTTACATGGGGCTCCCTGGGGCTTCTGTTATAAGGGCACTAATCCCATTCATGAGGGTTCCATCCTCATGACCTAAGCACCTCCCAAAGGCCCCACCTTGTACTACTATCACATCAGGCATTAGAATTTCAACATAGGAATCTTTTGGAGGGAAGACATTCAGACCACTGTACCTTCTCAGAATACCTTTAAATGAACACAATAAAAATAAAAAAGATTAGAAAAGAAATCAATTATATTGAAATGCAGTTGTGAAAAGTTAAAATTTTGTGGTCTATTAATAAATAAGATCTGATAGCCAGTTTACTATCATTTTTGAGATATCTGCCACAATCAATGTAATATGAAAATATCTGTGATTTCTATTAGTAATAATGTCACAGACACTACTGTGGTTTGTTGCCTCAATTCAAATGGTAGAAAATATTATATTTCAGTTTGAGGCTGGTGAAAATACAAATGTAATTGTTTTCTTGCCCAAGTTCATGGACTCCCCTGAATTCTATCCACAGATCCCAGGTTAAAAAATCCTGGGTTAATAAAAAAGAAAGAAATCCTGCCATTTGGGACAACATGGATGGACCTAGAGAGTATTATGCTAAGTGAAATAAGCCAGGCAGAGAAAGATAAATGCCATTTCACTTGTTTGTGAAATCTAAAAAAAAAAGAAAAAACAACAGAATGGACAGAATAGCAGTGGCCTCACAGACACTGAGAAGTGACTGGTGGTCACCATGGGGGAGGGGTGGGGGAGGAGGATAAACAGGCACAAAAATTCTCAATCATAATATAAGTTGGTCATGGGGATGGTAGTACAGCATGGAGAATATAGCCAATGATTCTGTAACATCTTTCTATCTTGACAGATAGCAATTGCACTAATTGGGGCAAGGATTTATTATTATGGGTAACTGGTGAACCCCTGTGTTGTACATTTGAAACTAATATAAGATTGTGTATCAACTATACTTCAATTAAAAATAAAACAACCTTCTGGGTTAGAATTTCCAGATTTCCAAAGAACAGAGGAAATGCAAGTTTTAAATTTTCTACAACTGAAAAGAGATGAGATACTTCAGATTAAAAGAGTTCACTAAATTCTAGCAGAATACGGAAAATGAAACAGAGAAACATGACTAGAAACATATAGTAAAACGTTAGCGATAAAGAGAAAACCCTAAAAACCCTAAAAACTACCAGTATAGAAAGACAACCTACACAGGAAGAAGACTCAAATAACACTGGGTATCTAATTAGCAAAACTCTATGCAAGAAAGCAATGAAGAAGTGGTTTTAAAATACTGACGGAAAAATTACTCTGAACTGAATTAATTTTATTCATGACCAAACTATCAGCAGTTTGAGGGAACATGAGGGTAACAAAATGCTGATTTTGGACATAGAAGAATTTAAAACAATTAGCACTCATGATCTAAAATAAATCTAGCAAGCAAAAAAAAAAAAAAAACCAGAAGGAAGTGTTGGAATGCAAGTATAGGTATGCTAATTGGGAAAAAAATTAAATAATATAGTAGTATATAAAATTAAAAATAAAAGTTCTATCCAATTCCTTTATTTGTTGTGTGTATCTGCTACACCTTTTCAATGTCTACATAAACATGTACACAAATACGTATATACAAGATATTTTTTATTTTTTAAACAATGAGCTCACTCTATAAAATTGTGTTGGGTTTTTTCCCCATTCAGTGGAATAACACGAACATCCTTCAGAATTGTTACATGCAGATCTGCCTCACTTTTTTTACTATCTACATTTGACAATATGGATGTATCATAATTTATTTATTTAACATGCCCCTAACATGGACATTTTGATTATTTTAAAAATATTTTTACTCATATAAATAATGCTTGGCACAATTTCTGTCAGCATTTCTATAAAATAAGAGCCTAGAATTAGAGTTGTTGGGGTCAAAGGATATATATATATATGTCTAAAACATTTATAGATCCTCCTGAAATGACTTCTAAAAATATTGCTTATTTATAGTCAGACTGCAAGTATATGGGATGCAGTAGTTTAGGGAAGAAAAATCTTCAAACAAGAGAACAAATACAAAATGGAGAGAATCTGGTTGTGACTTTTCTTTAAAGAGACAGAAAATAAACAGTGCTTTCAGTACACATGACAGATGGCTTTGTCCTCTTGGCCGTGTGAAAAATACTTTTCTAAAAGTGATTACAAACTAATCCAAAGAGATTTAGTAAGGAAGGAACTCTTCAGTTATTCAATTAGGTCTTATTTTATTAAGAGCAGACGATCGAATTCTCACAGATAATTTCATCTTTTATAAGGTAATCTGAATGAGGAAAACTTCTGCCTTTCAACTTGATTCTAACTATCATGGGGCACTGCTTTGTACAGTGAGCATGATAAGATCTTTTGGTCAAAAGTATCTGCATTGTCTTAGAATTTGTAATATTTGTAATATGTAAGACTGTAATTGCTGGGCAGGTTTAGACATGTATTAAGATTTGGGGAAAACACTGAAAGTTTAGAGAGAGAAAAATATATAAATGGCCCATTACTTGAATCTTCAAATGAGAGTCTAGCTATAGCATGCTAACTGCAGAGTTTAACCATAAAAAGGTATAATTTAAATTTTATTTAGTGTTGCAAGACTTACATGTTAAATATAAAACTGCTATACTTACTTGGTATTGTACACTCAATGAAAAACAAAAAGGCATTCATAATAGCTATTTCTTTTAAGAAGCATGCAGTAAGAGGAATGAACACGGGAGTACTAGTATAAGTTGATGACACAGTTAACACAACCTAATTGGCATTCCTTTTGGAGGTGGGGATTAAATTCCTTGCAAAAAAGTGCTTTCAATGCATAGTGTTATATCATGCTGTCATGTCACAAAACTAGGCTTGCCAAGGTAGGTGAAGTGTATGAATGCTCAGGTCTCACAGAACAGCAGTCAAGTGCAACTATAACAATCCTGAGTAAGTTTACCGCTGACAAATGGATAACACTTTCAAGGCCTCCAATTAGGTTATCCTCTGCAGTATTCTAAGCTAGTCACATTGACAATCACGTTCATTGTAGTGCTTGCTGCAAGGAAGGCATATAACCAGTTTTTCTGGCTAAAATATGATGGGAAGGCATTCCTTGTGTTTACATAAAAATAACAGAATTAAACAGTCTTAAGAGCAATCACTGGTAGGCTGCTTCCTTCACTCACTGTTTTGTAAGGGCCCACTGGGAAGGGGAAAAAAGAACACAAAATTCATACAATTCCAACTGACTGAGTTGGAGAAGAGAAGTAGAAGTGCCCTAACATTCAGATGGCCTCTGACTTTGATTTTATAAGGTTTTCCTTCAAGTGAGACTACTACGTTCCCTCCCAGTTTCTCTCCAAGTCCTTAATATCATCCAAGCCATTTACTTGCCACTCACGTCTAATACCTGTAAATTTATTTTTAATGGCAACTTTGGAGGTATAAATCATCTTGCTTCTTAAAGGTGCACTTTCTGGAGGCCAGAATATAAATACAGTTGCCCTTTGAACAACAAGGGGTCAGAAGCCCTAAAGATAGCATAAACAATTAATACATATTTTGTATGTTATAGGTATTATATACTGTATTAAAAAAGTAAGCTAAAGTAAATGTTTTTTCAAATTGTTGCAAATCTCCAAAAAATTTTCCAATATGTTTATTGAAAAAACTCTGTATATACATGGTCTCACACAGTTCAAACCTGTGTTGTTCAAGGGTTGACTGTACTGGATCTTCTTTATGAAGACTCTTGTGTTTTGTATGTGGCATCATACAAAGCAAATCAGCAAGCATTCAACAGGAAAAACTTCACAAAAGACACGTAGGTGTCCTCTACAGCATCACCAGGGTCACCGAGATGTTTTGCTTCCTCTATAATGGTCTTTTGTCATTGATTAAACCGAAGAGAACTGCTTTTTGCCCGCCTTTTCTTAGATCTCCTCTATGCAGATTTCCTACTTTCATCTCATTAAAAGCTTTGGTGATCATCGCTCACTTTAAGCACGGCAGCTCAGGCTCTGCTTCTGTGGCTCTGTGGAGAAGGAAGAGTGGGCTGAAACCTTGCCTCTTGTTTACATCTCAATCTGTAGAATTTATAGTAGTGCCTGGAAAACAGGATGTGCTCAGTAAATAGCTGTAGAATGAGTGGCTGAAGAGTAGATTAGAACGGGAATCCTCTAAAGGTAGTACACTCCTGCTTTAAGGAACTATAGAATTTCGAACTCTAAGGAAACTGGAAGGATATTACAGGTGAGGAAACTTACATTTGGAGGGATTATATGATTCATAGGCCACACAAGTCTCTTGTCATGTTAATTACCTGGCTAAGCTTTCTAGCCAGATTTGAGTTCTAAGAACACTGCTCCCTCTACTGTGCGTAGTTTGGCTGATGAACACTTCTCACGGATCCTCAGTGGCACAGGGTTTGGACAGGATGACCTACCGCTCTCTCCCGACCCAGGAAGTACAGGAACACAGCTAACAGAGCTTTCAAGCCTTCTCAGGCACCACAAAGCGTTGACAGCCCAACGACTGGGAGCAGCGTGGTCGCAAGCAGCAGGCAGCCTTAGGTATTTATTACCGGGCGCTCTAGGGAAGGGCAGCTGGCAGTTCTGAGGAGGACAGTTGCCCAGGTTCTCCTCTGGAAACCGCCTTCCTCCACCAGCTCGCAGCAAAGACATGTAATCCCTTTCCTCCCCTGCCCTCAGATCTCGTTGGCCAGACTTTGAGCGGACAGAGCCTAGAGCGCAGTGTGACCCACGCCACTGATCACGGCGCAGCCTGTGCGCCCTAGCGCGGGGCGGGACGTGGGGCGTGGGGTGCGGGCGCGCCCGGAGCTGCGCTAGCACACCTTCCGCTTCCCGCTCGCGCCGGCTCGGAAGGACGGCGCGCGTCCCCGCGAGGCCTGCTGGCGGGAGCGCACACGCCCCGCCTCTCCCCGCCTTCCCGGTGCGCGCCCCGCCCCCTCGAGCTTCGATACGCGGAGCCCTCAACATCCGAGGGCTTTGGCCCAGAGTAACCCCGCTCGCGTGACCTTTCCCCTCCTTTTGGTACCTCCCGCGGCCCGCGGGGCCGGCTGGCTGCGGTTGGGCGCTCGCCCTGCTCCCTCCTCGCCACCTCCCTCCCGAGCTTCGGCTCCCCAGTCCCGGCGCGTCGGCGCGACTCCCCGTCATGGCGGCCCTCAGCAAGTCCATCCCTCATAACTGCTACGAGATCGGCCACACTTGGCACCCTTCCTGCGGGGTCTCCTTCGTGCAGATCACCCGGGGCGCCCTGGAGGAGTCCCTGAAGATCTATGCTCCCCTGTACTTGGTGAGACCCGTCAGTTCCTCCCCTAGGGCGAGTTGGTGTGGAAGATGGGCCAGGGGAGCAGTCGGGTTCCCCAGAGGCCTGGGGGACTCGCCCTGTGTCGGTTTCGCACTCGGAGTAGGGGGGGAGTTCAGATTGTTTTTTGACGGGGTGGATAAGTTGGGGAGAGGTCGCAAGGGGCGAATAGCCCTAAGTACTCGGGATGCGAGAAGGGTGATGCGAATTAGAGGTTGAGTTGTCATCCGATCGCCTGTTGTTGGGAAGAGGGTCTCTTCTCAACTTTAGGAGTCTTAAAATTGTAAATTGAGGGACCTGCATTACGTTTCCTCTCTCCTGACTTGGGATGGAGAGGTGTTTATAGGTCACCGAGGCGAATAAGCAATGGCCTGCAGTTTCTTCTGAGCTGATTTTCTTATTGACCCCATCTCCCCCCTCACCCCCGCCCCATTTCTTTTTTAAGAGCATATTTGCCAGTAAAGCCCTGCCACCTCAGGTCTTGTCGTTTGGGATGGCTGGGTTTGGCTTGAGGGTTTTCTAAGTGTTTTTGCAAGTTCACAAAGTAGACTACCTACCGGTTGAAATTTTGCGTGGTAAATTAAAGTATGGTTCCAGTATTTGAGTCAGTGGGGGTGATTAGGAGATCTGTATATCAACTAAGTCCTTTATTACACAGCTTTACATATAGGGCAATCTTGGAGTTGTAGGTAGAGAATATTTGTAACTTCGTGTATGTATCACTGGGAACTTAAAAGAAGTTTGTTCTTAAATGTACTCACTGCATCTCTTTTTTTCAATAACCTTGTTCTTGGTATTAATGATTGACTACTTTGGCAATTGAAGTTCATTCATTTTCTTGTGCAATAGAGTCTGTGTCCTGAGAGATCATACTTTGTCTATGTTTCCTGGAAGTTCCACTCAAGAAGCAATGGATCATCAAGTTTTACTTCTCACTGAGTAATAATTTAGGTTTAATACCCTGTTATGCCTGTAAGTGTGTTATGGCCTTATCTGTAGTACTTCTGGAAAAGTCTGATTATTTATTACAGAGGTAACACAGGAGAAGATGGTAACTTTTTCTGAGCTTGCAGAAGCCAGTTTCATTTTTTTATCATACAGTTTGATGCTTTTCAGACTTTAATGTGTGTTAGGAATCCCCAGGGGGATCATGTTAAAATGGGGGTTTTGATTCAATAAATCTGAGTGGGTGGGGCCTGAGACTCTGCTTTTATAACAAACTCCCATGTAATCCTGATGCTGCTAGACTAAGAGCCACTCGGAATAGTAAGGATCTGGAGTAGATAATAAATTTACTATCAGAGCTGGGAGTTTCTTCATTTTCTTTGGCAATGATCCGTGTTTATCTGCTTTTCCACATGAATTGTGGCTAGTCTATAGTTCATTTTTAAAAAAAACAGAGCATCTACAAACATTACTGAGCTCTTGATACAGTCAGTACAAAAGACTGTTCCTGCCCTTAGAGGATTATGATGTAGGTGGGGAGAAAGTTTATGCTCTGTACTTTCTCTCTCTGAAAATCCACAGCATTTTGATTGTGCTTCATTCTTTCAACAACTATTTGTTGAGTGCTGTTATCTGTGCTATCTACTGCCTGGACAGTTTACTGGTTGTGTTCCACGATGGGGAAGTTCAGGGGAGCAAAGGAACTTGGGTTCTTCAATTCCAGTAGGTGGCATGGGGGCTGGAGATAAATTCTCCATCTTGTTTGATCTTGTATCCCTTACAACTGTCCAAACTTTGGGTTACTACTCATGAATTGTGAAATACTACTCATGAAATCGTGGGAACTGACCATTATTTTATTTTAAGGAAAATAGAAGAGAAGAGAAGAAATTAAGAGTCTTTTGCAAATACTGAGGATAAGCATCATTTCATGACAGTTTTGTTTCAGTTATATTTGCGTATTTGGCTTGGGCTACTTGGAGCATACAGCAACACTTTGCTCTTTCTTTGTCAGTGTTGAATAGTTGTTGATTATTTTTGTAATCCTAGGTGCCAGTATACAAGTTGGTATGGGAAGAAGTGGACTTGGAAAGGGATCAAAGACATCTGAATTTGAATCTCAGCTCTATTAGTTACAAGCTGTTAGATTTTGTCCATGTTACATTGTCTTTCTCTCTGAGAATCAAGTGAAATAATGCACTTAACGCATATCATAAATTTTCTAGTTCATAATAGGTCTCGGGTTAGGCATTTTTTTCTTTTCTTCCCTCTTACCCCAGTGGCACTCAAGTTACTTGTAAAGTTCATTGAAGGTGGCTGGGGAGGGCTCCTGGGAGCAAGTAGCATTTGACTTGGGCTTTGAAGATAGGCATGGACAGACATTGATTCATGTAGTAGATACTTATAGAATACTCTTAATGCAAAGGACAGAGAATGGTGTGAACTGAGGTAGAGATCTAAGTGGTTTTGTGAGGAAAGTAGTTATGTACATTGATGACTAGAAACAAGTTTGTGTACAGGAATTATGAGTGATAACTTCTTTATTTAGAACATGTATGTATTTAGATCCTTCCATGTTATCTTCTTTAATGCTTACACAACTCTGTTATCCATTTCATAGGTAAGCAAACTGAAGGTTAGAGAAAAGTGATTTCAAAGATTCAGAGCTAGTAAGGGAGAGAGAGACAGGATTCAGTTCTAAGTTTTTTTTTTTTTTTTAGATTCAGCGTCAGACTCAAGGGTAGGCTAAAGACCATTGAGATTTTTTTTTGAGGAAAAGGGTTACAAGTACAAAATGGTGCTCTAAGATGATGAACCTTGTAGCACTGGGTAGACTGGAATGGAGGGAGTGTTTTAGGAGTTGATGGAGTAGATTCATTAAGTGGTAGAAAGAATCGGACCCATAGAATCCCACTCTGCAATTTACTAGCAGTGTGATTTTAGGAAAATTACCTCACCCCTTTGAGCTTTAGTCTCCTTGCTTTAGTGAAGATAATTATACCCATCTTTTAGGGCTGCTGTGGGTCTTTAAAGGGATTGCAATGTGTAATAATAGCAGTTGTCACTTAGTAGGGTCCTAATAAAATGTTGCTGTTAAAATAGTGCATTTGTTATGACCTATGTTTCTATCTCCTGTTAGAATGGTGGTTTGTACTCAAACCAAGCATGTTTCTTCAGTGAGTGCTTAATAAGTGGGTAAATGAGTACATATATGAATGAATGAACTCAAGGATAGTTCAGGAGTAAGGAGATATTCAGTAGGTCTGGGTAGTGCCAGAGAGAATGGAAGGGCAGTTTTAGAGGCATTTTACAAGAGAGGCATCCCACAGAAGAGGAGTTTCACAGGAGGAATGAATAGAACTTAGAGACTGGGAAGACTGGGGCAGTGTGAGAACTTGTTGATACATCTAGCATTTCAAGTCTGCTGCCTTTGCTATGATTGATAAAAAGGAGAAGTTTCTGAGGGAAGCTGGTTTGGGGGGAAATTTTAATTGAGAGTGTTTTCTGGATCCTAGAAAATGGGTCTTCTATATTTGCTTTTCATTTGAAATGTTACCCTATGTGTTGTACTAAATTGATTTCCTTTTGCTCCTTTCATATTTACTATCTTGTTCTGTACATCTGCTCTGGAGCTTTTTCATCTCTTTTTCATCTTGGTATCCACAGCTATTCTTAGAATTCATCGTCTAATGCTTAAACCGTGTTGAAATGTAGATGGACTATTCCTTTTAGTAGTGAATTTTTGTGTTTTCCCAATTTGTAAAAACATTAATCCTCATTACCTATTCACTTCTCTCATGTAGTTTTTTTTTTTAAGAATCCTACATTTGTTGTAATGCAGGCTAACAATTTATGCATGTTCCCAAAATGTATTTCTGGAAGTTATATTGTGTTTCTTGCATGTTCGTTATTGTTACACATTCATAGTAAGTGGTACCCTTTGCCACACGCATACATGTGAATCAGTTGTTAAACTGTTTAAACCCTTGACTACCACTTAAATTAATGAAAGCATTGTGCCCTCAATAATTTGTGGCAAATTTAGAATGCACAGTTGCTCATTTAGGGGGATGGATTCTATGCTTTACAAGTTCTTAGGTGCCTTCTCTAAGAGGGAAAACTTGTTCACTTATCTCAGGTGGTTATAAGACCTCTCTTAATTATGCTTCTCCTAGGTGACTTTTTAGGATCTTCAGATTAGGGTACTGGCATTTACCTTTAGCTGACTGCAGAGTAGACCCTTTTGCTCTTTTCAGAAGGAATAATTTAAAAACCTGCTTTAAAATGACCTTTATATATTTAAATCCTTTTTTTAAAAAATTTAGTATCTACTCCCTTTGAACCTTCTCATCTAACAGATAAAGGGTCAGTTCATCATCTCTAGACTGAATAAATACTTAAAGCAAGAATTGAAATTCTTAGGAATAAAAAAACAACTTATGGACAGTCTAGTTATTTGCTAAAGGCTTGAAAACCACCTACTGTGAAGAAACCATTTTAGGGATATATGGACTGAGGTTTTTTTTTTTTTTTTTAAATACGTTCTCACACAGTTTTATTATACAGAGACATGGTAATTCCACAAAATTTCCAAACTCTAACTTCCGTTACACGAGTCTGTTCAGATTCCTGTATTTCAGTATGGTTGATGAGGCAGGATCCCGGATTCTGGGATCAAATTGCCTGTTAGAATTCTAGCTCCCTAGAATTTTTTTCTAGCTGGGTAACCTCAGACAAATTACCTAACCACTCTAAGCCTCAATTTCTGTGTCTGTAGTATTGGAGAAAGGGTACATTTTAACTCCAGAGGTCTTTGTGAGGATTAAATGAAGCATAATATGTAAAGTGCTTCTGGCACGTTTTGTGGACTGAGTTTGAAAGGCAGTGGCTTAGCAGGTTTCTA